GCCCAGTGTGTACAGGTCAACCCTACAACCAAACCCCAATCTTCTGTACGGCTTCTGGCACTGTAGACCAGTGCACTATTGCTAGCAAGCACCATTATGGCTGGGCCTAATAAACCTTTATAATGACCTCAGACAAAGTAATATTCTGAGTTCTATGCTAGTTGTAAACCACTAGTTGTAAACCACTTCTGTAACTAACAGATTACAAACATTATTAGCCAGAGAGCAGAGACCTGAGTGGCCCATACACACCTGCAGCTCTGGAGAGTAAAATACAATACATGCCTCATATTTAACACATTATTATAAAATACCAAGTCGGAAAGCCATAGAAAGAAAACACTTTCAACTTCATTGTGTGTTATGGAATGAATGTATGTATTTCTCCAAAATTTGTATGCTGAAGCCTAAACACCAGTATTACTTAAATTCACTTTTTGGTATCCTGAAACTTTTTTTTAAGAAATTCAAACTTCTCTATTTAGGGCACACTGTCCACTGCTCTAGTTCCACAGCCCGCTCCTTCTCATATGTAGTCCAGCACAGCACTGGTCAGGACGAACACATCAGCGTGCTGAGTCCTGCTCAACTGTTCTTTCTACCTTAACATCTTTCTCCACATCTGCTACCCAGATTCACTCCAGCTACCTTCTCCTAGGTATTCCTCAAGATTTGTGTTACTTTGTCAAAAAATATTTAAGTTACATGGCCCTTTAATAGGCACTGCACCTCTCCCACTTGGTGGTCTCTGTCACTAACTTCAAGCCCTTGGGGGGCAGGATCTGTGTCTTACCTGTACACCTCCAGTGCTGACTGCAGTACGTGAGCATAGTACATATAGACAAATGAATTTCCCAAGGGTAGAATCTGATTCAAATCTAAATCTAATCTAGCTTTGTTTAAATCTAAATTCATATTTTACTATTTAAAAAAGTTGTATGACATTGGGCAATTAATTTAACCCTCTGAATTTCAATTTCATTTATCTAAAATACAAAAAATGCTAACTATGCTACTCAAGAATCTCATGAGAATCAAAGAAAATAGCATGTCCTTTGAAAAATGTCAAGTATTATACAAATGTATGCAACTAGTACAAGTAAATAAATCTCCTTTCTGAATTAACTGCCCACTTGTCCAATACTTCAGAAAAATCCATGAACATTTTTAAAAGCATTCTTTGTTAACCAGAGAACTCTGGAAGAATGTTTCTAAATTATGGGTAAAACTATATAACTAATGAACAGAATCACATGTAATATCTTCCTCTAAACTGCTTCAAATGACTTTGGAAATGATATTTCAGTTTTCAAAGAAGAAAATTTTAGAAGTATATGAAAAAAGAAAATCTTAAAAGCTACTGCATTAAAATAATTTTCCCTTTTCATAAAAAGACACTTTATCTATTCAAAAGTTAAAAGTATGAACACTGATCAAAAGGCACATTTAAGAGCAGACAGAATAAATAAAATTGAATTCCTTAGTTATTCTTTTCAAGAATTCCCAAAGTCTCAAAGGTTATGAGTATTAGGAAGTATTTTTTGTACTGAATCAAATGTCAGAATACTTACTTAGCTTTTTTTACTTCCACAATTATGCGGCACTTATTCAAAACCTTTTAAATAACAGGACTATAAATTATTACAGCATTCTAAAATAAATCCAATCTCTTCACTAGGAACACAGAAATAAATGCCATTTGCAAAACCTAATCAAATTGTTTCTTCTTGAAATTTAAGATTGGTGTATTTTGGGCCCCATTGGGGAAATGGCTACCTGCTTGATAAACATGATTTCAACAAGATGATATTTAACTTGGACAGTGAAAGGAATTTTTTTACCCCTAAAATAAATAAGCTTCATTTTTCTCACACACACACACACACACACAATCAAGCTGTCAGAAAATAATTATGATTACTCCAAAGTTACTCCAACTTTTCACAACAGAAGTAGATTCCCTGAAATTTATAATATAGCTGGGTGGAAATGCTTTCTTTTTTCTTGTGTGTGTTTACGTGTTTGTTAGGGAGGGGGTGATAAGAAACTCACTCATCTGGTTCAAAATTAAAACAAATTCAAATGAATTTAGAATAGATCGTTTACCTTGTATTCCTTCATCCCTGAACCAACCAACATTCAATACTTTTAGATCCTTCCAGAAGAATTTTATGCCTATACAAGAAAATAAGCATCCCATTTATAGCCCTTTTTAAACAGCACTAAAGTATAATCAAACTGATCTGCACTTTCCCTAAAAAAGATACCTTATAGTTAGTTTTATTCCAGTGATTTTGGTCTCTAAAACCCTTTACATTCTTGAAAATAACCAAAAACTTCCAATAGCTTTTATTTAGATGTAGATTCTATCTATGATTGCTTACCATATTAGGCTTTAAAACTGGATTTTAAAGACATATTCCTTCTGGACCACCAGAGGCATAATGGCTCTGTCGCTGGACTCCCATGCGGTTTGAGTTCCAGACCCGGTGGCTTAAACTCACGCCGGGCACATGTGGGTGCGTGCCCAAGATCCCAAGAATGGAGGAGAAGGGATTGCGGTGTGGCCATCCCCCTGGGGAGCAAATTCTCGCTTTCTGTCTCTGTCTTTCTGGCGAGCACACGTGCCCTATAGCAAACCCCTCCCCCTCAAAAGAAGACATTCATTCTAAAAATTAAAATACAAATAATTCATTCTAAAATGAAAACAAATTCATTACACCTAGCATATTTTTATGAAAAATAACTATTTCCAAAACAAAATAAAAACATTAGACAGTCACATTTTTCCATTCTTAGAATTCTCTTGGAGACTGGCATAACAGAAGACAGCTGGACCCTCACATCTGCTTGTATACTGAATCAGCTGTGATACATTTTTTGGTTGATGTAATGAAGAAAATTTAAGTCTCATACACATAGATGGAAAATAAAAGAAAGGCATGTTTTAACAACCTTTTTAGGTAAGTGCAGACATTTTTCTCTAGATCTTAGTGACAGCTTCTTATAGATTAGCTGAAATGTGGTATTTTACACTATCGATACATTTTTAGTCCTCTATTACATTAAAACTCTGGTCTACCTTCTACTTTGAATGGATCTTTCAGACATTTTATAACACCCACACAGGTCATATGGAAAGCAGTGATTAACTGAGTTATGTAGATCTTCCAAATGTTGACACGTTTCACTATAGGCTATAAAAGCTAATAATTAATACCGCATTTGTTGCTATCACCACCTACCCTCATCAGAGGAGTCCAAGTCCTGAGAAGCTACCAAGGGCACAGCGGTGTCTTAAGTTTTCCAAAATTCTAGTTTTCATTTCAAAGCTCAAATATTATTATTGGCAACTAATACTAGCAATTGACTTCTTTAAAGCAACATACTTACCTCACTCATTTATGAGCAATTGTCCCTAAAGTCAAAATAACCATAGGTTGTCATCCTTTCAAGTAAGAAAAATGCTGTACTGGAGAACGGGGAAACTAGCTCGAAACTCATGCAACACAAGCGCTTTCTCTCCAAGCCACTCTACTATGCCTTTGTATGCAGCTTCCCATTTCTTCACACAGAGTATTTCTTAAAGTATACTAAAAGTGACAACTTAATAAAATTAATAATTGTCACTGCTTCATCTAGGACATTCAAGTGGAACTTCATACAGCTGATATTCTGTAGACAGTGATTTCAAAGAAAAAATTTTAGCAAAAGTT